CCTCGTCACGGCTCATCAGAGAAGACAAGAATTATGTTGGATCAAAGAAGTGGTCTGGATAAGGAAGTCAACCCAAGTGATGAACCTGGACGAGGGGATGGGGGTACATCTATAGCCATGTTTTGGGACCATGTTCTCGCCGAAAAAGCTGAAGGTGTCTGATATACATTGAAACGTAAGCAAGATGAGAGTAGTTGGTTGTGTATGGCCTCCTTCGCAGACTTGTGGAGCGGCAGCATTTACGGCCCAGCCCGGAATACTGTGCTGTGTATGATGCAGTTTTAATTGCTGATACTGTGGTATACTGTACTGTGTATGATGCAATTTTAATTGCTGATACTGTGGTATACTGTGCTGTGTATGATGCAGTTTTAATTGCTGATACTGTGGAATACTGTACTGTGTATGATGCAGTTTTAATTGCTGATACTGTGGTATACTGTGCTGTGTATGATGCAGTTTTAATTGCTGATACTGTGGTATATTGTACTGTGTATGATGCAGTTTTAATTGCTGATACTATGGAATACTGTACTGTGTATGATGCAGTTTTAATTGCTGATACTGTGGTATACTGTACTGTGTATGATGCAGTTTTCAATTGCTGATACTGTGGTATACTTAAGGGTAGGAATATTCACATTTCTTGAAATTTTCTATACTATTTTTTATAGTATGTTTCATGTCATACCAGACTATAGCTAACATAAGGTTATTGATATCTCCTGTTGTTGATGAGACTGAGAGCACTAACCTGCCCCCCTGTTTTGCAGGATACTGTTTGGCCATCACAGGAGGCAGCTAATTGTCTCCTTATGAGAGGCAACAGAAGCTCATTCTCCCACGCTTGTATGGCCGGCCCTGCACTTGTTAAGGTACGTATGACTTGTTGCACAGCAGGGGGGAGAATGGGAGCTGGGCAGGGGAGAGTGGAAGCTGGACAGGGGAGAGTGGAAGCTGGACAGGGGAGGATGGAAGCTGGAGTGGGGAGAATGGAAGCTGGAGATGGGAGAATGGAAGCTGGAGATGGGAGAGTGGAAGCTGGAGATGGGAGAGTGGAAGCTGGAGATGGGAGAGTGGAAGCTGGAGATGGGAGAGTGGAAGCTGGAGATGGGAGAGTGGAAGCTGGAGATGGGAGGATGGCAGCTGGAGAGGGAGGATGGGAGCTGGAGAGGGGAGGATGGGAGCTGGAGAGGGGAGGATGGAAGCTGGAGTGGGGAGGATGGGAGCTGGAGAGGGAAGGATGGGAGCTGGAGATGGGAGAGTGGAAGCTGGAGATGGGAGCTCGGAAGCTGGGGAGGGGAGGATGGGAGCTGGAGATGGGAGGGTGAGGGCTGGAGAGGGGAGGGTAGCCCTTGTCAGGTGAGCTGCCTCAGGCATGCAGGCTAATCTTGGAGACATTTCTTTGACCTGGAAATAATAATGACCATAATGATATTTTCTGTTGCTATCAGGAATCCTGAAGCCCACAAAACCAGATCTACAAGTGCCTTTTGCATCTACTCAAAGGAAAGGTGTGGAAGAAGTTTCCTGGACCAGATTGCTATGATCAGCCATCATACTGTTTCTGTCTACATTCTGAGCAATACATGTTATGTTTATGGGTAGTTTATTCATATTAGATGTAACAAAGCATACCACCTTTATTAAGGTTCAACATCATGGAATGGATCAAATTTTCTATGGACTGAGGTGTTAAGTTTAAGAGTTCCTACTTGAATTCATAGAGCTCACTTGAAAGTTTTTGCAAGGATTATAGAAGGTGATATTCAGTTGTTGTTTAATTTAACATTTATAAACAAGGTGTCAAAGATGAGAAGAATCAAGGTATAAAGTTGTTCTGGTATGAATAATCATTGTCATTGATTGAGATGGATATGAAGACAAGAAATAAAAATAGCACATAGACACACAAGTGTTTCCTATCTGTTTGAATGAATGAGCTGTTTACATTATGTTTTACATAGCTTACCCTTCTTCTCCTTTGGGGAGGGGCATACTCTGGGTGGTCGCAGAAGGTTCTTGTGGCATCTACAGTGTTGCTGCACGCCGTACAAATTGATGTACCGTTAGTTACATCAGCCATGTCCCAGAAAACTCGCAGCAGTCGTGCAGGACATGGGATAAGTGTCCCGGAATGGCTGCCCGTGGGTGGTATGGGGCAGCAACACTGGGGGGTGCGCTTCGCCTCATCGTAATGCAGTTGGCATAACCGGCTGCCGCAGGGCAGACCAAGCCTCTTGCATGTCGGCACGTCGATTTCTATCACTTTATCATGTCGACACCCCCCTGATAACCGTGTCCTTCCCCGCATAAAGCAGAGTCGCCCCATGTCTCAGCTCGGGACCGGACTTCCGGGTTTCTGAATTTGCCGCCCCGCGAAAGGGCAGTTGGGAGAGTTACGGGGTCAATCAAATAACCGCTGGGGTTTTCCCTTCTCCGTGGCCCAGTACTCACATACAACCATGTATTTTACAATTATCCATGTAGACAAATAGATAATGAATGTAATCTGACATGAAAGTTCTGAGGAAATGTTTTATTGATTAATAACTAAGGCAAAGAACTGAATTCATTCGGCCGCGTCGCCTGGTAACTGCACCTTTAACCCTTGACCGCATGACCTCTCTACATCAGCTGAGCGTAAAACTACCTGATGACCCACACAATTCACAGTTTATCAGTTCGTCCTGTAGTTATTGCACGTTTCAGGTCCTTCCATGGCTGCGTTTGGTGGAAAACAAATTGCCGTGTGCCACGCTGCATGTGCGAAAGGTGATGTTCGATTCTGAAAACATGGTATCACGCTTACCGTTGCGTATTTGGACAGCGTTGCAACAAAATTACGAGCGTTGCAAAAGATATTTTACGGACACAGGTGCTCGGAAACTGTTACACAGGGTTTTATCCTTATATACGCGCATACGTCCTTAAATACGCTACGTTAGGAGGGTATGGTATTTTTTTGGTGTAGATTCTTAAAAGAGGGTGGATTTTTCCATGACCTGGATTAACGAATTTATATGCTTTATTGTCAAGTAACACCATATTATTTCGGTCCTTTTCAACCAGGACCATGCACCAGGCAAGCTTGGATGATGCAATGGAGCTGGCCTGATATTGCAATAACGGCGTAAATGTGCTTTACCTGCTACTGTCGGGGCGCCCCGGGGCTCAGAACGGCACTGGGCGTTCTGTAGTGCGCCTGCGCGAACTTAATGTTCGAATTTCAAGCGTTCTATTCAGGCGTGCCAAATGTTGTATCAGAGAAGATATTACAAAAACCGTAAAAACATCCGGCCTTCCGGCTTCATTTTGCCAATGTGCTCTAACTTACAAGATTATACGTTATAACAATCATGCGTAAACTTGTGTTTTATAAATGAGATAGTAGTATTTAGTTTCGAAGATACTCACTGTCATTCTTTACTACCACAGAGGAAGAATCCACAGATAAACTCCCAACACTTCCAGACTGGACCAATGTGACGAAGGACTGCTGGGTCTGTTTGAGTGCGTACTCAGCAGCAGCTATAACTACCACTACTTCTACTTGATTAGATTGACTGGAAGAAAGATGAAAGCCAGGCAGAAGTTTTGATAGTAACTCAAATATATTTCAGGCTCTTACACTACGTACATGTATTGTATCATGATCTAACATAATGATTATGACAGCTATATATAGAAGGTCTTGAGAATATAAAAAAGGGTGTGGAGTTTGGGGAAAACTTTACAAAGAACTGTGCCAACAATGACGAAAGTTAGTGGATGCTACCTGAAACGTCTGTCAGTGACCGTTTGAAAAATCATAATTATCCAGTTGCTTGAGGAACTGTTTTTGGCATATCTTATTACCTGGATGTCTAATTTTCACCGACCTGTGCCAACAATGGTTACAAATACAGTAACTGTTATCCTTCCATGATTTTAAATTACATGTTGACAAAGTATGCATATTATTACTTGCTTTTGCCTAAATTTGGAACAAAACATCAATACTTACGTCTGTTTGAACCGTAACACCTGTAGACCCTGGAAGCCTACAGTCTGTAGGAGTTGGACGGACATCTGCAAGTGGCAAACATACAGAGTATATGTTATGAAGGCAATAGTTATAATCACAATATAATATATTCTACATTCAAGTTCCTCTGTGTTAGTAGTTACTTGTTTAAAGGTAAAACTTTTGTTCCAACACACAAGGGAGCAGTCACCCATCACTCAACTGCGACAGCGGCTGACATCGTCTACCAGATACCTTTGACTAAGTGTTGTCACACTTCAGAGAAGCCACATGACAAGTCTCACTGCGTCAGCCTATTGAAGAGGACCAGAGTGACTGGTCGAAAGCTCTAGGTGAGAACAATTCACTTGTGTGTCAGAACAAAAGTTTTAACTTCAAACATGTATTCTACATACTTTGATCATTCGGCTTGTGATCTTGTCAGACAATACTTACAGACTCCTCGACCTTGGTCTGAAGCTGGCGGAAGGCCACAGATGTGCTGTCCTTCAGGTCAGCTGACCAGGACTGGGTCAAGGTCATCACAACAGAGGAAGTCAAAGTCACTAAAATGAAAATGAGTAAAATCAACATAAAACAGTCACTCTTATACTGTCATCAATAAATTTTGTAGTTCTAACGATGAACAATGTTGGATAGATTATCTTAAGTTTGTAGTATTTGATCTATATATAATACTATGTACAGTTGTAGAATAGATTATCTTATGTTTGTAGTATTGTATTAGTTTTTTTAAATATATAATCCTCTGAACAGTTGTAAAGCTTTAGAATTTTTAAACATGCTTCTGATCTTAATGTAAATAAAAAAAACTGTTACAGTATTCAATTCGTATTCCTTGCAAAGGAAATCTTACAGCACTTCAATCTGAATCAGCCTATGATTAAAAACACATTGAATAAGTTGCTGCAAAACATGTAATTTTACCATCTTTTGTGACAGTTGCCGTCACGTTGGAGTTGATAGAAATGCCAGCAAGTTGCCCGGACGTAACAGTCTGCACTAGAGTGTTCTGGACAGAACTGGCAGCATAGGAGGCCACCACCATACGGACTACCACAACTACTGTGTTGGTGGAACTGAAGAAGAGAGACAACAAAAAATGTTGGTTTTTGTTTGCATGAAAACATAAACCAAGGGCTAACAACGTTGCCGAAGAATATGCCAAAGAGTTAGTTCTACCCAGTATAATATTACTGAGCAATACAGTCCGGTGTAATGGGTGTAATCGTGGTGCATTCTGCTAGAGGGCGCAGATGCATAGGCATCTTATCATTTGTAGGGATATGAATGACGGTATATGTGAGTAGCCTTATGTAGCCAGCCCAGGTAGACAGCCCGTTTTTTTCCTTAAACCCACTGTAGTACAATGTTATTCATGCATCTTATATAGCTTTGTGGCATGGGCAGACAGATCCTAGCATTGCTTAATGTTATCATTTATTATAACTATTTCCATATGATTGTAAGCTAACAAGTTGAACTTTGTTCCAATGTAGCAAACGTTATTCTCCTATAGTTATTTACAATCAGCCAAGTAACATTAGGGACTCACCTCTTCATAAATTCTACCACTACGACTCTTTGGAATCCGACAGTGTTTCCAAATTGTATAGTCAGCTGGGGATAAAATACAGGCAAAGTTGTATGATGAATCACTCGACGAAGTTTGTTTGTTTCGCATAACCGGTAAACCGACTTCAGGCGTAACGCACCAGTTTTGTACATGTACGCACATGTAAGACTAAGACTGCGTAAGACCGGACTGTAAGGTTTGAACCACTCACACCGGAAAGGACCCCTACTCTTTTTGATAAGTGCGGTGGGTTCTTTAACGTGCGTGGGGTGTGGCTCCCCAAACACGGGACCTCCATTTAATGTCCGATCCGAGGGACGTCCCTAACCGAAGCTAGGTACTCATTTACACCTGAGTGAAGTAAGGGAGGTCGTGTAAAGTGCCTTTCCCAATGGCACAAGATCGGTGACATGGACAGGATTTAAACCAGCAACCTCTTGGGTGTGGGCCGAACGCGCAACCGACTGCGCCACACGACCCCACACAGTACTTTTGTAGGTCTACTGCAACTAATGATTTAAAAACAAACTTTGAATAACAAGTTTAGGATAACAGATTAATAGACTTACTGCTTCCTGTAATTGTGTCTGCAGAGTAATGAAAGCCTGTGATGTTCTGTTTTCAAGGTCAGCTGTAAACTGCTGGGTCAAGGTCATCTGGGCAGTCTGGGACACCGTGACTGGAGTGAGCAAAAACACACAAAAAAGAGGCCATACATTATGTCTTCAGAGTCAAATCCAATAACCTAATTGTCTTCTTTGCCAAGAAGGTTATGTCTTCGAATCTTTGTGACTGTACATATTTATTTATTTATTTATTTCATCATAAGACGGCTGGGTAGCCCCATTCAGCTTACATTAGCTGTTTTCCAAGGGGCCCAACAAAATTACACAAGACATTGTTACATACAGTAAAACAAGAGTGGACAACATACAGTAAACATAAAAGTCCGATGCGTCAAAACAGAGTCATAGTCCTATACTCAAAGTCCTAGCGGTTCAAAGGTCTGTTTGTTTGTTTGTTTGTTTGTTTGTTTGCTTGTAATCAGCATAACTCAAGTCATTGATGGGTATGAATCGTGGAGACATGATCCTATGGTCCTCTTGCGGCTTTCTAAGCTACTGCAGCTGACAAATTGTCATCGAAACGTCAGCTCTTGTAAACAAGTGGTTGTGAATAAAGAAGTTTGATATTGTGGCGTCTGTGTGGTGTAGTGGATAGAGCATCCGACTGTCAAGCAAGGAGACCCAGGTTCAATCCCCAGGGTTGGACCCAGACATGTCCGGACATGCACCCAGACGTTGTGCCC